CAAAAGATTGGAGCAGATCCAGAGGAATTTTCTTTGAAGGGGTTGGGGGAGGAGAGAAAAGTGCATCTTGTAAGCTGGGATCAAGTCTATCTTCCTAAGGCTGAGGGTGGGTTAGGCATTAGGAAAGTGAAGAATTTCAATACTGCCCTGCTATGAAAGTGGATTTGGAGGTTCTCAGCTGAAAGGGAGGCTTGGTGGAGATCTCTCATTGTAGATAAATATGGGGTGGAGTGGGGTAACTGGAGATCCAGGGATCCTCCCCTAAGTTGGGGTAGTTCCCCGTGGAAATCTATCATGAAAAGTTTCTCTGTGTTCATGGAAGGGATTACTGTTAAGATTGATAATGGGGAAAGAACAAAGTTCTGGAAGGACCCTTGGCGTTTGGATGCGACTCTAGGTGAAACTTTTCCTCATCTTTTTCAGTGTGCTCTTAATCAAGAAGCTTCTGTGGCTGAATACTGTTGTGTGACAGGTGGGTCTCTAACTTGGACTCCCATTTTTAGGAGGGACTTGTTTGACTGGGAATTAGAAGAGATTGGGGGCCTGATGGCTCTTCTTCAAAATCAGAAGATTGATCAGCAGTTGGAAGACAAATGGAGTTGGAAATGGAATTTGATTGGTGAATTTTCTGTTAAGTTCCTTGCCTCTAAATTGGGTAGTTTGGATCCTACTGATTTTCCTGCTTCTCAGATCTGGAATACTATAAGCCCTTTCAAAGTCAACTTTCTGGTATGGACGATGGCCCTGGATAAATGTCTCTCCAGAGTTAATTTGGTGAGAAGGGGCATTTAGGTTATGGATCCTTTATGTAGTCTGTGTGGGCAACATGCTGAATCGACAGATCAACTATGTATTCATTGTCCATTTTCCTCTCAGATTTGGGGATACTTTCTCAGAGTCTTGGAGTTCAGTTGGGTAATGCCTAGATCGGTTAAGGATCTCCTTGGTTGTTGGAAGGTGAGAGGCCTTAGTAAGAAAGGGAGCCTGGTGTGGAGGACTATTCCTGCTGCTGTTTTATGGTCCATTTAGGCTGAGAGGAACAGTAGAATCTTCAATAAGGCAAAAGTCTTGAAGATACCATTCAGAGAGCTGTGGGCAAACTGATTTCTTGGATTTCTGTATCTGAGGAATTTAAAAGTCTGAATTTGTCTTCTTTCTATTGTTCTGATTTCTGGCGGAAAGTGTAATTGCTGTGGTCTTCAGACTGCCCTTCTGGGTCTGATCCCAGCTTGTATATTTTTGAGTTGAATAAAATTACTTTACCTTTTACAAAAAAAAGCTTGAAGTGGATGGAGTGGAATTGGACTCTCAAGAGGAAATAGCCAATTGTTTCGTAGCCCACTTCAAATCTATTTTAAGGAAACCTCTAGCTAGCTGAGTGGAGTTGGTTGGACTGGAATGGTCTACACTTTTTGAAGAAATAAAATCTTGGTTGGAGAGGAACTGTGGGGAGGAGAAAATCCGACAAGCAGTTTTTTTAGTGGATAGATCCAAGGCATCGGGGCGAGATGACTGCACTACGGCATTCTTTCAAGACTGCTGGTATATAATTAAATGAGATTTTGTTTTTCATAGAATTTAAGGAACATTCAGTCATTAGTCGTGGAGTTAATGTACTTTCTTAGCCCTAGTCCCAAAGAAGAAAGAAGCCAAACATCCTAAAGATTTTAGACCAATCAGTTTGGTAACAAGCATCTATACAATTTTGGCTAAGGTCTTATCTTTGAGGATTAAAAAGGCACTCCCCCCCATTAGTCAAGCTCAGGGTATAGGCAAGGATTTGTTTTTAAGTTAGATCTTGAAAAGACCTATGGTTTAGTGGATTGGAGTTTTAGGAAGTGCGGATATGGTGAAAGATGGTGTAAGTGGATAGGTGGCTGCCTTAAATCTTGCAACTACTCAGTTCTAGTAAATGGGGTTGTAAAGGACTTCTTCCTAGCTTGTAAGGGTTTGAGACAAGGTGACCCGTTGTACCCTTTCCTTTTCACATTAGTTGTTGATGTATTTAGAAGACTTTTGTCAGAAGCAGACAGGGCTGGACTAATTAGAGGCTTGGAGATTAGGAAGAAATCAAGCTCCAGTAACCCACCTTCAGTTTGTAGATGATATCATAATTTTTTGTGAGGGATGTGATTTGTGGAGGGTAAGAAATCTGAGGAGTCTAATAGTTCTCTTTGAGAATGCCTCAAACTTGAAAATTAATTTCGAGAAGAGTTGTGTGGTGGGGCTAAATGTGCAGGGAAGGGATTTAGAGTCTATTGCTTCCTGTTTTAAGTCTTGTTTTTGCTTGGCCCTTGATCTATTTAGGATTCCCCCTAGGTGCAAATCCAAAGGAAACTAGGTTTCAGAATCTAGTGATGGATAAGTTTGAAAAAAAGGTTGCCGGCATGGAAAAAGAACTATATCTCTCTAGGGGGTAGAATAGCTTTGATTAGGGCTACACTTGCCAACCYACCCATTTACTTTATGTCTGTTTTTAGGATACTTGCTAGGGAAACCAAGAAGATAGAAAAGATGATGAGGGACTTCTTGTGGGAGCCAAGCGAAGAAAAAAGGATCATTTGATTAGGTGGGAAGTGGTAAGTGGAAGTAAGGAACAAGGGGGCTTAGGGTTAAGGAACCTAGTTAAAAGGAAGCTCTTTTGGGTAAGTGGCTATGGAGGTGGCCTTTGGAAAGAGTGAGACTGTGGCACGAGGTGGTGGCTAGTATCCATGGCTGTTTTGAATTTGGTTGGGATGCTGGGATATCTCGACGGGCCTCACTCACAACACCCTGGAAGGCAATTTTTGGCGTCCTCCCAAAATTCCTCAAGTTTATAAGGTATGATGTTTGCAATGGTAATTTCGTGCTTTTTTGGGAAGATGTCTGGGTGGGTAACCAACCCGTAAAAAACCTCTACCCCTCCCTCTTTTCTATTTCCCTCTATAAAAAGGAGTCTGTCTCTAGGTTTCTTTCTTCCCCCATTCCTCCGTTGTCTCTTAATTGGGATTTTGGGTTTCACAGAGGTTTGAGGGATGAGGAATTTGTCTCTGTCTCCAATCTCCTACTTCTACTTGATTCTGTTTGTCTGGACCCTCTTAAACTAGATAGAAGAATTTGGTCTTTGTATTCAAGTGGCTCATTCTCTTGTTCTTCCTTCTTTAAGTCCCTTTGTTCTACTCCTTCCCCTTTGGTGTTCCTACTTAAAGAAGTCTGGTCAATGCCTATTCCACCTAAAATTATTGGGTTTTGTTGGGAAGTTTATTATGGTAAAATTAATATTGTGGATAACTTGCAAAAGAAGAGACCTTATTTTTTATTATCCCCTAATTGGTGCATCTTATATAAAGTGCAGAATGAGACTGTTTTCACCTATTGATCTCTTGCTCCTTTATTGAAGAGATATGGAATTGGGTTTTTATGCTATTTGGGTGCAGGTGAAACTTGCCATCTGAAGTAAATATGCTCTTCGACCTGTCTACTTTTGGATGGCCAACTAAGAGAGGGAAGTTAATGTGGAAATGTATTAGGGCAGCTCTCTTACGGACCATTTGGGAGGAAAGAAATGCTAGAATTTATCAGGAGAAGGAGAGAAGCATTGCTGAAATAAAGGAGTGTATACTGACAAGGGTAATCCTTTGGTTAAAAACTACTGATCTCTTTGTGGATTACTCTAGTGATGATCTTCGAAGGAGTTGGGCAGCAGTGGCCTCCACTAAATCCAAGGAAAATAAACCTCAAGTAAGATGGATTCTGCCTTCGGAAGGGGTTGTAAAGTTGAACTTTGATGGGAGCAGTCAAGGCAATCCAGGACCTTCAGGTATGGGAGGGATCTTGAGGAATAAGGATAGTAATATTCTTTCCTTATTCTCAGGACCAGTGGGCTTTGGAGATTCAACAAGGGCTGAACTACGTGCTGTGGTACAAGGACTACAGATTGCCAACCAACTTGGAGTGACTAACTTGATAGTTGAAGGAGACTCTAAGGTGATAGTGTGATGGTTGTCGGACCCAGATACTGTTGTTTGGGGCTATAGGGACATCATCAAAAAAGTCAAATGGCTCACAAGAACCATGGTGATTAGTTTTCAGTGGGTTAGCAGATCAGCCAATACTATGGCAGACTCTCTAGCTAAACGAGGGGCTTCAAGGGATTCTTTGTTTTGAGCTACCTTGTAACAATCTGGAAAAAGAGTTGGAATTGATCCATCCTTGAGGGGAGGCAACACCTTGTGCCTCCTCTTAGGGTGTTTGTTTCTATTTAATAAAATTTACAGTCATTCATCAAAAAAAAAAAAAAAAATCTGTATTACTTTTAACAGACAAGCCACCTAGGGAGACTGAGCAAGAAGTATTTACTGTATTATATACCGGGAACATGCAATTGTTTGGGATTGTTTGTATCTTTTTTGCAATTTACCATATTTATATTGACTACTTTCATATTTTATTAGAACCATCAAAATGGGATAAAAAGTACAAAGAAGAAAGTGACAGACAAAAGCAAGTAACCCATAGAAGAAGTAACAGGTCTCAACCAACCATTGAAAAAAGGCCCTGATCTAATAATAGCTACAAAAAAAAAAAATGCTACCTCACAAGACCATCCAATCCCAAAAGAAAGGGATAGCAACTCCCTAATAAAGCTAGCTTTATCAACTTCTGATCTCACAGGACTGTCTGCTAGAATGTTAATTGATCTTTGTATCCAACTAAACACAATGCTCACTTTAGCTGCTAAAGGCCTAGTTTCCTGAACATGATGATGCAACAACTATGGACCTTCCACCTCTCCCCTCATTTTCACAACCACCTCACCTGTTTGTTTACATATGCATTTGTTCAGTTTATTCAGTATAAATTTCATTCTTAATTTTGGTTCTTTTGCATTTTCCTTCTGGTGTTTTGGTCTGTCTATAGTTTGAAAGTTTGCTTGAACTTGATTTGAAGTTTTTGTCTCGTGTGACTTGGGAGATCAATAACTGATTAACTACTTTTGCTCCACTTTCCTTGTATTTCAGAACTAAGAAAGTTGATATCTTTACCAGTAGACTCTTGGATATTCATTCGAAGATGTTAGAAATCAATAAGAAAGAGGTGATCTATTGTATTTAACATATAGTGAACTTGTTGTTTGGTCTAAAGGAAAGTGGAAATGGGGTATGCTGATAATGGTGAACAAATACTAAGCCTGTTTCAATCACTGTGACAGGAAATACGTCTGGGTTTGCATCGCTCAGATTATATGTTTGATGCTCAAACTAATCTACTATTCCAAATAGAGCTCAACACTATTTCATCTTCATTCCCTGGTCTTAGTTGTCTTGTCAGTGAGCTTCACAGGTTAAGTAATTCTCTATTTATCTTAGATCTTAGAATACTTGATACTTGCCCAATATCCTTTTAATTGGTTTTCTTTTGTCTAATATCCCTGTTTGTTGATACCATATTGCTTCTTACAGTCTATTGAAATGGGACAAGCGTATAACATGTGGAGGGATGTGAACACAGCAATAAAAAGTAATGAGGGATGACTAAAATGTATTTAAATAATAGATGTTCATTTTGCAGGAACTTACTTCGTCACCATGGAGAGCACCTTGGATTAGATCCAACAAGGATCCCTGCGAACAATGCTGTCAATCAATATGCAGATGCATTAGCTAGAGCTTGGAATGAGTATAATGATTCAAGGTTGGAGCTAACCACAATTGCTTTTCCTGCCTTCGTCTCTGTACTCGAGGAAGTCTATTACTCTATTATGGGGTTTTGCTGCCTTCTTTTTAAGATCAAGTGTTTCTAATTCTAGATTTAACTGTACAGGGCTGTCATTATGATTGTGGTCCAAACTGAAGAACGTAACATGTATGACCAACATTGGCTTTGTTTCACGTTGAAGGAGAAATATCCTTTTTATCTTCAGAATTGCCTCTTTTTGTTAAATTTATAAATTGAAATTTAGATGTTTCAAAAGCAATAACAACTTATAGTCTAAGATTTTCAGTATGGATGGTTGGGTACATGCACAGATATTTTTGAGTCAAGTGGGGAAATGACTGTTCTTTACCTGAGTCCAGAAATGGATATAGATAGATATACATAAGGGTGTTCCCATCTTTGTGCTATATATACAATAATGCAATAGTTACAAAGTCCTAACTCCTTTGGTAATATTCATTAAAATATACTTCACATACCTATGCCATATATACATGAAGACATATATGCTTATATACATAAACATTCAGTCTTGCACATATTCATTTCTTTATGTTTTTATATATGTTTGTTTGTTTATGCACAGATAATGGTTTCTAATCCAATCAATTAGAGAAGCTCCTTAGACTACTCTACCTATTTCTGCAATGTGGAATCCTGTAACTGATCTGAACCATCTATTTTTTTTATCAATATCTGAAACCATCTATCAGATAGGGGACCCTTTGGATCGATCACTTGTTCACTCTTATGGTTCACATTATCCCTGTATCCCACCTTGTATGAAGTTTACCCTCAGTGATATGCAAAGTTTCAGTATTTTATCTAATAGTGCACCCAGAGAATGGCTTATTTTGGCCACATGGTTTGGGGATTTAAGCTGAAATTAACCCTATAAATAGAGAACAATGAAAACCATGTGGGGCACCTTTGGGCTTTCAAACATATTGCCACATAGAAGATTCCTGGGTTCTTTACACTCCTTTACTAAATGACCCAAATAGAAGACATCAAGACAGTAAGAATGTTCTCAGTGGTTAAGAAAAAATAAAAATGATACAACAATACATTAAAAAATAACATATGAGAAATATATATCTTAAAAATATCCTGACAGGACCAGGTACACATCTTATGCATTGTACCATGAATGTCGAAGTTTCTGGATGCCATAGACTTTATACATAGAAATAGATGATTTTTTTTTATCAGCAAAGAAGAATTAATTTTATTAATCAGTGAAAAGGCGTAGCCAAATTACAATACAGCCAATATTCCAGCAAATCCCAAATCCAAAAAAACTACAATTGAGCCCAAAACAGCTGCTGCCTATGRACCCCCCTGCTTAGCTAAAGAATCAGCCATTCCATTTGCAGTCCTTCTGATCCAAGTGAATGAGGCATTGAGTTCCCTTGCCAAACTTTCTATCTCTCTTAGTGTGTGTCTATATATCCAGGGACCATTACACCTTGTAGTAGGGGTGGATTTGAGTCGAGCCAAGCTGAATACTTGGCTATTCGAGCTCGGCTCATTGAAATAGTGTTAGGCTCGAGTTCAAGCTCGAGCTCTGTTGTAAGGCTTACTTAATAGCTGCTGTTACAGTTACAGTTACAGTTACAATTACTTGTTTTTTCTTCTTTCTTTTCTCTTATTATTTTGATTCTAGGATATGCCGCCAGGGGCATACTTGTAATTTTAGATTCTTTTATGAAGTTAATATAAATAGAAAACTGGCGGCTGCCAGTAGATGCTTTTCTCTCTCAACCGTACCTCTCTCTTCCTCTTTCTCTCTTTCTCTCTCTCTCCCAATCCCCACGAATCACACATGGTATCAGAGCAGGTTCTCTGGGTTGAAAAAGACCTATGATCCCTCCTGCTCAGTTCTTAAAAGTGTTTGGACGTGGCTGTTTCTGCAGAAACCCTAGCAGGTGTCTGGCGGCGGTTTCTGCAGAAACCTTAGCAGTTTCTAGCGGCTGTTTCTGCAGAAACCCTAGCAGTGTTTGGCAGCAGTTTTTTGGGAAACCCTAGCAGTTTCTGGCGACAGCTTTTGTGATCTCTTTTTCCGGGCCGTAATAGCAAGAAAACCCTAGTTGGAGAAGGGTGATGCTGATGCAGGCTCCTCTGTTCGATGCTGTGAAGTCAAGTTCAGATTAGCACCTTCGTACAAGTGCTGAACAGGTGTGGTTTTTTGTTTCAGTTTGTCCCAGCCTTCTTTGGCCAATGGTGCGTAGGGCTCATGCCTTGATTATATAGTTATTTGTTTGGATGTTGGATGGTTAGAGTGTGTGAACTACAATCAGACTGATTGTAATGTCTGTATTGGTGGTGCTGAACCGATTACCGGACTGATTTATTGTTCTGTTTGGACGTTGTGTTGACTGAACCCCTTGTTCTTAGCTGTATTCCCTGTGTTCTCAACAATATTTAGTGTTCTTTTGCTCACATTCTAGGAGTAAACCCTGAGTTGTTCACATTCTGATTGTGGCGGCTGTGCTGTTGGGTGATATTTGAACTGGTTTTCAGTAGTATTCAATGGCAAGTCATGAGTTAACTTCATCGGGGGCTACACCAACCTGCAACACAGCGGGTATGGGAGGTGAAAACATGGTTTTCCCATGCCAATTACCCCTTTAAACGGTCTGAACTACCTGGAGTGGGCTAAGAGTGTAAAACTCTATGTAACGGCAAGGGGTAAAGCTGGTTATATCAATGGAAGGGTGAAAGAACCCAAGGGTGAGACGGCTGAACATGATAGGTGGGACCAAGAA